GTAGTAGGACTCATACAAGGAACCCTGGTGGAGGCCCAAGGTTCCTGAATCAGGGAACCCGCCCCAACCAATTAAGGGGAGGGGTTTAGGGTTTAGAGTTTTGGGTTGAGGGCCGTACCTCGCCGAGGTTCGCCGAAGCTGAAATACAGACCGTTCCGCCGTCCCGCTGTGAACGGTTCACGGAGCCTCGTCCGTCAAACTATATTATGTTAAGTTGTGTTGTATTGCATTGTATTACAATATAGATAATATATTATGCTATGTTACATTACATTATGTTGTACCATATTATACTACTGTATAATACTGGTCTCTATTATACTCTGGTTCTGACACCAGGACTTTTTTAGTGTATTAGATGGTACTAGATTGTATTATATCGTATTCTGATTTTGAGCTTTGGTTGGGTGGGGCTTCAGTCATTGTGGCTAAGCTGCGACAACTTACTTCTTTGCAGGGTCCAAGTGTATGTTCTATACTTGGATTCAACCAGGCATCCCAAAAACACAATTAGGCGATGATAGTTTTATGTCTCAGGTAGGCTTTCGTGTTGGCGGAATTAGCTCAGAGTTTCTGAATCTACAGCTTTGGGTGCGGGTTTCTGGGCTTTCGGGTTTGTTTGCATTGTTCAGATCGCCGTCCAAAGGTGTATCAAGCCGAAAATGATGTGACAATGATCGGGTAAGCCCTTAACCCCAAACCCTAAACCTTAAACCCTCGACCCTGAACCCTGAACCCTGAGCCCTAAACACCCGCATTTATCCATCATGCTGTGTTTTATCATATTATGTTATATCTTATTTTATTGGTGCATAATACTATACTCTTTTATAGTCCGTTACAGTATATCATTTTTGGGTGTTCTCTCTCTTCACTCCCAGGTTCGGTCAGCGATTCAGCTCCGGAGCCCCGCTTTGAGCCCCGAACAGCTCTGAACCCCCGGGCCCCGAGAGATTGAAGATCAAAAGTCTAAACCCTGAACTATTAGGGTCCATGAATAGGGTTTCGGGTTTAGGGCTCCGGGTTGAGAGTTTTCGGTTTAGTATTTAGGGGTTGGGATTTGGGGTTTGAAACCTCTTCTTGAAGGTTCAAGCCCATACCTCAAACCGCAAAGCCATGCAAACATGAGCGGTTCCTCCCCAGACCCCCCGGCAGGATCCAAAAAGTGGATCCCTTAATGGGGGCTCCTGTAAAGTACCCTTAGTAGCATAGGGCCCCAAATCAGGGGATCTACTTTTCCTTATAGATCCCTAAACCCTAAACCCTAAAGGATCCCTTAAAGGAGCCCTTTAAGGAACCCTACTAAGTCCACTTGCTAGATCTCCCAAATTAGGGGATCTGCTGGGATTAGTCTACTTTCGAGATCCTTCCGGGGGTTTGGGTCAGCATCTTGTGACGAACGTGCCGCCCAGGTGACAGAGCCGACGAACATGGTCAGCCAGGAGGCTTCTGGGTTTGGGGTTTAGGGGTTTGGGGGGTAGGGTTTGGGGTTTAGGGTTTAGGGTTTGGGGGTTTAGGGTTTAGGGGTTGAGGGGTTTAGGGGTTTAGGGGTTTAGGGTTTGGGGGTTTAGGGTTTTAGGGTTTAGGGTTTGGGGTTTAGGGGTTTGGGGTTTAGGGGTTTAGGGGTTTAGGGGTTTGGGGTTTAGGGGTTCGGGGTTTAGGGTTTGGGGTTTAGGGTTTAGGGTTTAGGGTTTGGGGTCTAGGTTTAGGGTTTGGGGTTTAGGGGTTTCGGGGTTTAGGGGTTGAGGGGTTTGGGGGTTTGGGGGTTTGGGGGTTTAGGGGTTTAGGGGTTTAGGGTTTGGGGGTTTAGGGGTTTAGGGTTTGAGGGGTTTGGGGTTTAGGGGCTTAGGGGTTTAGGAGTTTGGGGGTTTAGGGGTTTGGGGTTTAGGGGTTTGGGGCTTAGGGGTTTAGGGTTTATTTAGGGTTTATTTAGGGTTTAGGGTTCAGGGGTTTAGGGGTTCGGGGTTTAGGGTTTGGGGTTTGGGGGTTTGGGGGTTTGGGGGTTTGGGGGTTTAGGGGTTTAGGGGGTTTAGGGTTTAGGGCCTCGGGGTTTAAGGGTTTAAGGGTTTAGGGGTTTAGGGGTTTGGGGGGTTTAGGGTTTAGGGTTTCGGGTTTGGGGTTTGGACTTCAGTTCAGAATTTTGGGCTTAGGTTCTAGGGCAGCATGAGTTCCGGAGCCCTAAACCTTCTTCCATTCCCTACAAACCGAAGGTAAGGGTTAAGTTAAAGGGATCCTTACAGGGGTCTATAAGGGATACTATAAGGGTACTATAGGGACCTTAGGGTTCCTTTAAAGGGACCCTTAAAGGGGTCTAATGCACGAAGAAGAACTCACCCGCGAAGAACAACACCGACATCACTGCCAGCAGCAGACGCAGGCGGTAGAAGCTGTAATGTAGGTAACCCCAAGGGTCCAAAGGACCCAATAATTAGGTACTCGGTTTTAGGTTAGTAGTTATGTAGGTTCGGATTTTGGAGAGTATATGCTTATGAGGTACTTGGACCCTTGGGGTAATATAGGGGCCCAAATAATTACCAATACTGTTTTTGGGGGTTCCGTATGATAGTTATAGTATAATGGGCCCCAAAACCCTACTCTAATTATAGGGGCCTTAATGACTAGAATACGGTTTTGAGGACCATTATACTATAATCATAATAAGGAGCCCCCCCAACATAGCATGGGTAATTATCTAAGCCCCTATATTGCCACCATCACCGCCAGCACCACCAGCAATGCGGCCACCGCGACCGACTCGCCGCCACCACGCCACTGTCATTGACACCTTCACCACGGCCAACTGCAAAAGAGCAAAAGGTAGCCATCGTCATCTTCAGTTTCATCGTCATCGCCATCATCTTCGTCACCGTATCCAATCGCCATTATGATCATCATCATCGCCATCACCAGCATTACCATCAGCAGCCTCACCCACCATCAGTTCACCATCAGCATCAGCAGCATCATGTCTTTCATCCCCCAGGTGCAGGTGCAGATGCAGACGCAGACCGAGGCACCGGCCTCCACACCAGCAGCAAGTTCGGCAAGGATGCCTTTCCGGAGGAGGACGCAGCTCGCGCAACCAGCGCCCCCAGGGCGGCGGTCCAGGACGCGGGGATTGGAGCTGTTGTTGGACATTTTTTATTTTCCTTATTTGGGTTTATAAGGGACCCTATATATATATATATATATATATATCTATATATATATATATATCTATACTTTTTTCATGGTGTTTAAAGGCCAACCCAGGTTGTTTGGGAGGATTTTCGCATGTTTGGGGGCGATTTTATCAGACTTTTCCCGCAAACTCCCGGCGGGAGTGGCGGGGTCGGCAACGCTGGTTTTCTGCTGTGGGATTTGGTATCTAAGTTCTGGGTGCTCATGCATGGCTGGGTGTTCCGAAAGCTTGGATTTTGTTTTTTTAAAGCTGCGGTCTGGAGATCAGTACACGCAACCGCAAATCAATCCACCGAGTTGCCCCGGACACGCCATGACACTAGTGCACTTTGCCGAATCAGGAGTCACCCGGTCACCTCATCACTTGACCACGAATGACAACAGCACAGAATCAGGAGTTGTTTCATCATCGTGGCGTTCAGTTCTCGCGTGATCGCATCGCATCACAACACAGCACGTCTGCGCATCGTCGTGCCATTCGGAGACGTCACACCATCCCAATAGCACGGCATGACAAAGGACAGCTCATAAATGTCACCAAGAGTGTAGTGCACCCATCACGGCTTACACGACATGATGCACCCCTCTTCACCACAGCTTCCGCCAATGTGACACGTTTGAACCAGAAATCGCGGGTACACCACAACACCACATGGCATATCACCCTTTACAAGTCATCCTACGCCACATCACCAAGTATCCTGTTATCGACAGTAAAATGCCACCTCGCAGAGCATTCCAGCATTGCTCTACACCAAAGTCAAACGTTTCGAGACCCGTCACCCTCCGCATCACATGCACGTATCACCGTTTCGTTCCTGTACACGAAAACTATCCGTATTCACTAGGCAAGGCTTCAGCAACTAGCTCTACATGGCCTCCCCGCGGGCGCCAAGGCGTGAAATCACAACTTTGCACGCTTGCAGCGAACAGCAGTCGAGCACGCTCCGCTCAACGACATTGCGATGCCGTCGCCGCAGTTTATCATATCGCATCAGTCCCCAGCCGTCCTACGGTCGTATCGGATGCCACAATGTTGAGTGCAACTCATCAGGAATCCAACGTCGTTCAAACCACGAAGTGCCAGAGTCTTGCTATGGCATGGCTATTGAAAATAGAACCTGTATAGGGTTCTAGGAGCCTAAGCAATTGGAATAAGGTTTGGGGTTCATACAATACTTACAAGCAGGGGTCCATTGCTGTGCACTTCGCGACAAAGTGCTTCAGATCCGCATCCTTTCGATAAATTCAGGGCCCATCATGTCTAGCTGTGACCCCTCGAGCCTTGAATGAGTAATTACAGTAGTAATCTCCTGTTTTTCCCAGAGTTCTGAAAGGGTGTGTCCAGTCTCTAGTCTTCAGCGTTCTCATTCGGGGTGGAGGTAACGTGCGATGGTTTCAATGTCTTTGGTCAAGGTGTTGTCTTCAAACCTCCGTCTAAGCGCTTCGGATCGCTTTGCGGGATTTGAGGATCTGCGGTGTGCTGCCCTCCTAGCACAAGGATGTACCTGAATGGTATCAGGTCCAAGCCGGAAACCCCACACAGAGCCTAAGCCCCAATTGGAGAAATCGCCCTCTACCACCTGAGACCCCTTAATAATCAGAATAGGGTTTTGGGGTTCTTTATTCTCATTATGGTATAAGCTACCCCCAAACCCTAAACCCTAATTGTTAAGGCCCCTACTTGAAGGTTCATGGGTAGTTATAAGTGGGGTTGTAATTAGGGTAACTATGGTTATAACCCCTATTAGGGGACTTATAACCCCATTTATACCTGCCCATGAACCTCCAAGTACTTTAACCCGAAGCCCGAAGCGGAGGATGCCGACGATGAAAATCGAAGTGACGGATGCTGACCTGCCCCTGATGGACTCTTCCAGTGATGAGGAGGAAGTTGAAGTTGAAGGGCTCTGGACGGACTCGGATCTTGCATGATTTGTTGAGATTTCAAGCGGGGGTTGTGTGGTGTTGAATCCTTGTACTAACAATTTAAAAATATTTCATGTGCTTGTTACATCCTACTAGTGGTAAGCCTGCTTTTCAGCCTATCTTCAGCGCTGTTATTTTCAGAACCTCACACCGCTTCGTTCTTGCGTGAAGTGTTTGAGGAAGAGCAGAGCCCGAGGCCCTGCTATAGCCAAAACTATAAACTCCAAACCTCATCGGGACCCTTAGGGGGGTAGGTGGAGTGGGGGGTTGGGGGCCTGAATGCCGACAACAAGGACCTACTAGGGCCTAATTAGTACCCCACCACCCTCCCCCCTACCCCCCCTAAGGGTCCCTATGAAACCCTAAAGCCTTAAACTTTGAGTCTCAACGGCGGAACCGAGCCCTTGGAGCCAAAATCCCGAAAAGACTAATCCAGCTTTGGCAGCAGTAGCAAGTAGCAGCAGCAGGTATCAGTAGCAGGTAGCAGTAGTAGTAGTAGTAGTAGTAGTAGTAGTAGTAGTAGTAGTAGTAGTAGTAGTAGTAGTAGTAGTAGTAGTAGTAGCAGGTATCAGTAGCAGGTAGCAGTAGTAGTAGTAGTAGTAGTAGTAGTAGTAGTAGTAGTAGTAGTAGTAGTAGTAGTAGTAGTAGTAGTAGTAGTAGTAGTAGTAGTAGTAGTAGACGTCGTCGTCGTATTGGAGCTGGCGGTGGCGGTAGTGGTGGTGGTGGCAGTTTCTTCGCAGCAGTAGGCCGTAGGGTTGATAACCATTCTTTAGATCCCTGTGAGTCATACGCAACAGGTGGTTCGGTGGTTCGTCATCTGTTCATGCCAGTGAGTCAGCACATAGTTGGTGATCGCGTAAAGGTGCATTTTCCAAGACGGACTCGGTCCACACCTGTTAGTACCGACGGCTCAGCCGCCTCACCAAACTCGAAAAAGAGCCCATGAGGCCCTCCAAAGAGGGAATCCGCGACGTTAGATGCCCAGGCTGAACCCGAATCCAAGAGCCCCCCCACCCTCGCCTAGGGACAGAGGGTAAAGCGTTACAGAAAAGAAGCCCTTAAGCCTAGAGACCCCTGCAACACCAAGAGCCCTCAACTGCCAGGACATGCCGGCAACGATAGAAGTGGAAGACACAAAGGCTGAACCGAAGGCCGTGAGTCAGACATATCTAACTACAAAAGCTGTTCACGGTGTATCGTTTAGTGTATGCAGGTATATGCATATGTAGAGGGCTTTAAGGTGTAGAGCTGGGGTCGGAGGCTTTTCAGGGCAATGGAAGGTATCTAGGCTTGCTCGTCATCTCTGCTTGGGGTTAGTCACCTCAATCGCAGATGCCTCGCAGCTCTTCTGCCAGCTTATGGCAGCCGGTGCATAGATGGGGGGTTTCCGAGAATGAGGGGTGCCTGTTTTGGGGGTCCTTAAAATAATTTTCCTATCATTTAGGGTGCTAAATTAGGGTCCCCTATTTTCGGAACTCCCAGATATTCCTTAACCCTAAACGCTAAACTCCTTTTTCGGGCCTGGGACTCAACGGAACCCAAGCGTTGTAGGTTTTGAGGTTCTAGGCTTCACCTTAACCCTGAAAAACCTACATATTTAGGGACTTATATAAAGAAAAGATATCAAGGAGCCCTAAAAAGGTAGATTATTCAGGGTTAAGGCAGGGCGCAAACAAGCCTTGGCCCTGCACATGTATTACAAAAACAAAATCCAGGACTCTGCATACTGAATCTTAAACCCTGTGTATATGCATCTGAGCAAGTAGCAGCCCCTCACGATTATATATATATATATACACATGTATATCTACATATTTGTAACCATACTGTAAGGTGAAGCCTAACCCTATTCTAGCTACAGACGAAGGCCCCAAATGTAACCCTAGACCCTAAACGCTTAGCCTTGGATCCTTCTCGGAGAGCGCAAAGTTTGGGGGAGATAAGATCCCCATAAATCAGGATCCACCCTCCCCCATAACCTCATCTTAAAGTTATAAGCCCTGCAAACTTCCCTAAAGCCCTTATAAACTCCTCTCCAGTCCTTCGCACACATTTTTTAGATCATGGCTGGACCAGAGACCCAGTGCATATCTGAAACCGGAGCGGTCAGTTTCCCCGTTCAGTAGGGTTCAGGTTGCAGAGTCACCGAATATGCGAATTTCATAGGTGAAGGCGTGTCCTTTGAAACAGGCAGATGTTCGCGGGGTTTGGAGTTTGTGGTCCATTGTCCAGCTGGAGCCCTCCAACTACTACCCTTTCAAGAACGTATATATATATATATATAAGTATATAAATATATTTATATATAAGTATATAAATATATTTATATATAAATATATAAATATATTTATATATAAATAAATAAGTACATATATATTATATATAAATATAAGGAAAGCAGAATTGGGAACACCCGGAAAGTAGGTTGAGTGCTATCAGCCGCAAAGCGTCCTGGCTGTAGTCCAAACCCCCAACCCTAAACCCTGAGCCCTAAACCCCAAACCCACCCAGGTGGTACGGGTAATTTCCGATCCTGTCGCGTCCATGAGCCTGCGGCAAATTACTCCACTGACTGCGCCGACTGTGTCGGTTGGCGTCAGCATAGCTGCGCCTGAGCTGAAGCTAAGGTTTTGGGCTCGTATCGTAAAACTCATTATGATATGGAGCCCTACGGAATAATGTTGGTAATGTTTGTTACCCATTGGCCCCATACAAGTTCCTTTTTTGGGGTTCATATTTAGAATCCTATAAGGTAATCCCAACAAAGAACTACTATGGGGTCTATGGGGAGGGCATTCAAAAAATACCTAAGCCCGAAGATGGCCTTGAACCCTAAGCCGGGGATACAAGCAAACGAGTCAAATCTACACCCCGCCTTCGGTTCGATTAGGGTTTAGGGGTTTAGGGTTTAGGGGGTGATGCGGGGCTCAGATGTATAGGAGGTTCGTATTTGGGTTGGCGGGCTTTTGGGTTTCGGGTTTTGGAGGTGGCGGTGCTTTTCCAAGCATTGAGACTTTCAGATGCTTCGGGGTGTCTTTTGGGCTTCAGGGTTCAGCGAATCTCAACCCTAAACCCATTTAGGCCCGAAGCTCCTTACACATTACAAAGGAGTTACTTACAAGTAGCCCTTCATTCAGAGATGTCGGGCTCTTTGGCTGCAAGGTGTAGCTTGATCGTGAAGACTACCCACCAAAGTCCTAAAATCCAAAGCCCTTACATATAAATACATACATATAACTTAGGGTTTCGGGTTTGGGCAAGTTAGGGTTTAGCTAGTGTTTAAACCGTAAATCTTGCAATCCGGCTCTAAGAAGCCCTTTAAGCAGCCTTGCAAAAGGCTCGATCAGACCTCTGTAACTTTGCAATCCGATGATCCTTCGCTACAACAGGTGCATAGAAAAAACATTTGTAAGTTCCGTAACCCTAAACAATAAGCCCTAAACCCGAAAGCCCTAAGCCCTAAACCCTAAACCCTAATCCCCCAACCCTAAAACATAAACCCTGAGCCCGAAACCCGAACCCTAAACCGCTAAACCGCTAAACTTCACAAATACCTTCAACCCTGGACCCTAAGTTCTTGAACTCGAATAGTCCAAGTCTTGGTAGATCCTTTATGCAACCCCATGCTAAGACGCCCCCATGAAAGTCCCACCATGCCTTGTAATAGCCTTAATCATCCATTGTCAAACCACCATAAGACCCCGTAGAACCTTGATAAAACCCTCAACCCTAAACTCTAAATCCTAAACTAAAAAGCCCTTACCAAGACAAGGTTCAGGTAGATCCTGAGATGCTGCTGCCGGGCGAGATGTCCCCGAGGGAGCCGGATAGCCCAAAGCCGGGTGGCCGGAGGCTCTTCGTTGCATTTCTGGCTTGTAGTGTAGCCTTTAAAGGGATCTTGAAAAGGGGTCTATAAGGGATACTATAAGCGTACTATAATACATGGGCCCAAATAATCACCTGCACTAGTTTGGGGGCTCCTTGCTAATGGGACAAAAAGCCCTGTTGTAATTATTAAGGCCCCTATGAGAATCGTTTTAGGGTCTCGGGTTTAGGGTCTCACCATTTGCATGTTTTATACGTTCCCTCATCGGGAAGCAGAGGATCTAAGTTTCGAGCATTTTTCAGACGTTTTGAAGCGCAAACCCAGTGTCATAGTCGTTGTTGTTTTGAGGCTGTAGTGTGTTAGGATTTGGGGTTTTCCAGTCCAGCCCTAAACCTTAAACCGTGAGGGTGTTAGGCTTTTCAAGTCCGAAATTTGCGGTTCAGGATCTCGTCTCGAGGGGCTTTACAGCCTCACAGGATGTTCTATGGAACGGCTTTAGGGTTTAGGGTTCAGGGTCCAGGGTCAGGGTTTAGGGATTAGGGTTGAGCTTTCAGGGTTTAGGGTTTATTATATTCGTCAGAAGGTCGGAAGAATCAGCAGCAGTACTCCCCTGTTCGACCTCTTTTTCTAGTAATTCTAGTAATACCACACTAGACCACTCCCCATCAACAACTTCCCATTATCCAGGCCCCTAACCCTAAGCCCTAAACCCCTAAACCCCTAAACTCTAAACTCCTAAACCCTAAACCCCTAAACCCCTAAACCCCTAAACCCCCAAAGCCCTAAACCCTAAACCCTAAACCCCTAAACCCCTAAACCCCCAAAGCCCTAAACCCTAAACCCTAAACCCTAAACCCTAAACCCCTAAACCCCTAAACCCCTAAACCCCTAAACCCCTAAACCCTTAAACCCTAAACCCCTACATCCTTCGCTTTTGCCCCTGGCTTTCCCGAGCTTCGCTGTGGTTGGCAGATCCGAGGTCGAATAAAGAGGCCTTAATAGTTGGAACAGTAGTCGTAGTAGTCGTAGTAGGCGTAGTACGCGTAGTACGCGTAGTGGGCGTAGTAGGCGTAGAAGGCATAGTAGGCGTAGGAGTAGTAGTAGTAGTAGTAGTAGTAGTAGTAGTAGTAGTAGTAGTAGTAGTAGTAGTAGTAGTAGTAGTAGTAGTAGTAGTAGTATAGTAGTAGTAGTAGCAGTAGTAGTAGTAGTAGTAGTAGTAGTAGTAGTAGTAGTAGTAGTAGTAGTAGTAGTAGTAGGGGCAATAGTAGATAGTTGGAACAGTACTTGAAATAAGGTGCTAATGGTTCTGCAGTTTGTTTATCCAACTAGTACACGCTGGTAGAAGTCCGCCGCTGCGGTTTAGGGTTGGGATTGATTTGGTGGAATGTTTATGCCCAAGAGGCCTGGATGAGCTTGGTCCCTTCATAAGGACCCTTAGAGGGGTAGGAGGAGGAGGATAGGGGACGTAAATACTGATAATGAGGATAAGGGTCCCCTAACCCCCCTCCCCCTACCCCCCTAAGGATGTCTATGATCCCTTGATCTCAGACCCTTAGCGCAACTCCAAAACTCTTACCTCTGAGCCCCAAGCCGGATGCCCCAGACCCGAACTCCCAAACCCCTATCCTTTCAGCTCAAAACTCCTGAGCCCTCAGACCCCACAGCCTCAAACACAGCATCTGCAAGCGCCCGCTAAACCCCAAATCCGAAACATAAACCTTAAGCCTAAACCGCCAAACTCCTGAACCCAGAATTCAGCGCTAGCAACCCTATACGAGAGGATGTGGTGGTTCGAACAAGCTGTTTGTCCTTCTCCTCAGAGGTGTTGAATATCTTATAGAAACAAACCCTATTCTAAGCATCACGGATTAATATAGGGGCTCAAATAATTACCTATATTGTTCTTAGGGTGCCTTGTTATGATCATAGTAGATGGGTCCCCAAAACCCTATTTAAATCTATTAAGGCCCCTACAAAAGGGACCCGAGAATTAAACCCCCAAACTCCACGCGAGACTGCTTTGCCAGGCCTTTTGTGGGCCGCACTGGGAGCCAGGCAGCGACAACTGGGCTCGCGGACGGATGTCCCTAAACCTCTAACCCTAAAACGAACGGAGGTTTTTTTTTTGAGGGAGGGGCAAAGCCAGAGATTCCCAAACGACTTAAGTAATCAAGGGGTATATCTTGACCCCCTATACCCTGCATAATGAATTCTAGCCTAACTTAGACTAACTGCGTGACTCCAAAAGCCCTATCCTAAAGAAGAGACATTCATTCAATGTACCATAGGGGGTCCTAATAATTACCTATGCACTTTTTGGCGGTTCCTTAAGATAAGTACAGTATAACGGGCCCCAAAACCCTATTCTAGTCATTAAGGCGCCTATATAATAGCACCTTTATAGTATTCCTTACAGACCCCTTTAAAGGAACACTTTAAAGGAACCCTAGTCTACTTATGAAGGTCTGGAGCCCTCTATAGTTGTCAGGGATTGTTTTCAAGCGGGCTTGGGGTTTAGGGTTTAGGGTTTAGGGTTTAGGGTTTAGGGTTTAGGGTTTAGGGTTTAGGGTTCAGGGTTTAGGGTTTAGGGTTTAGGGTTTAGGGTTTAGGGTGTGGCAGGCGAAGTCGCGCGCTCGGGTGTGAAACACCCCGGGCCGCGCGCTCGCGTTGCTTGTAAACCCACCCCGGCCACCCAAACTATACTCTATTAGGGTTTAGGGTTTCTACCCCCCAACCCCACTATCAAGGGGGGCTTTTATATTTTTGCACCCATGAACGTTCCAGTTGTTGAAGTTGTGGTTTAAGCAAGTGCTGGGAGTAGCCTCGGCCCTTTTCGGGCCTTCGGCATGGCAGGGCCGGCTCGGCCCTTTAACCTTATCGTTTGACAGCTTTGGAAACCAAAAATCCAAGAAATTTGCACCCATAAGGTTCCAGTTGTTTAAGTTGTGGCCTAGGCAACGGCTGGGAGTAGCCTCGGCCCTTTTCGGGCCTTCGGCATGGCAGGGCCGGCTCGGCCCTTTAACTTTATCGTTTGACAGCTTTGGAAAATCTAGATTTTAGAGCTGGTTCCTAAATCCTAAACCCTAAATCCTAAACCCTGAATCCTAAATCCTAAACCCTAAATCCTAAACACCAAATCCTAAATCTTAAAATCCTAAATCCTAAACCCTGAACCCTAAATCCTAAATCTTAAATCTAGATTTTAAAGCTGGTTGTCCTTTTCCGACAGGACAAGCGCGACTAAATATTGAAATCCGGAAGCTTAAGAGCAGCCACACGAAAAGACAGGAGGGGACCTCGAGATTCGCAACCGGCCTTCTCTAAAAGGCACATTTTATGAACAGAATTTGTCACTTGAAAATCACCAGCAAAAATCCAAATTTCCGGAGGCTAAATCCTAAATCCTAAATCCTAAACCCTAAATCCTAAATCCTAAATCCTAAATCCTAAATCCTAAACCCTAAATCCTAAATCCTAAATCCTAAAACCTAAACCCTAAATCCTAAATCCTAAATCCTAAATCCTAAATCCTAAATCCTAAACCCTAAATCCTAAATCTTAAATCCTAAATCCTAAACCCTAAATCCTAAATCCTAAATTCCCACCCAGGCCTGCTTAGGCCGTACCCACCCTTTTTCTTAGGGTGCCTGGACCCAGAAAGAAACCCGGCAGTGATTGACACCAACTCTGGATGGACAATGGGTGGAGCCATTGGAGAGTGGTCGAATTCAGCCCCTAGGGCTGAGCCAAGCCATTAGGCCCCTTGCGTGGCGCCCATATTCGCAGAGGGAATTTGCTCGAATCTCAAGAGATTAAAATACCCTAAACCCCCGACCAAATCCCTTGGTGGCCCTTTCCATTTGGCCCCCCTCAGAAAAGGCCCCAGGGGCCGGCCCAGGGGACCCCCCAGCTGGCAGATTCCAGGGACCCGGGGGGCTCCTGGCGGGTCCTAGGGGGAGACCTGGCGTTTTCTGCCCTTCCTTGGCTTTCCCCCCGGCCCCCCCTCTCCCTGGCCCCCCCTGGCCCCCCTTGGCCCTCCCCTGGCCCTTGCCACCTGGCCCTGACCCTGTCTGTTTTGTGGCGTGTAGGTGCGTCCTTCCTGGCGCCAACAGACAGACCAGGGGCAGGTGGGAATTGAGGGCGTAAGCGCTAAACCCTAAAAGGCAATGTTTTGGGTGGTAGCCTGTGTATTCTCACAGCGGGTGGGAAAAGGTGAGGAACCAATGTGTAATTGCTTGGTGGTGGAATGCATTCGAACGCTAGACGTCGATATGCCGCCCCCCTCACACCCCTGGGAGTGTTGGGGCGCCATCCTACATAGAAAATACTGCCGCTGCGCGGCGAGACGTCCTAAACCCTAAATCCTAAATCCTAAACCCTAAATCCTAAATCCTAAACACCAAATCCTAAATCCTAAAATCCTAAATCCTAAACCCTGAACCTTAAATCCTAAATCCTAAATCCTAAATCTAGATTTTAGAGCTGGTTGTCCTTTTCCGAAAAGGACAAGCGCGACTAAATATTGAAAGCCGGAAGCTTAAGAGCAGCCACACGAAAAGAAAGGAGGGGACCTCGAGATTCGCAACCGGCCTTCTCTAAAAGGCACATTTTATGAACAGAATTTGTCATTTGAAAATCACCAGCAAAAATCCAAATTTCCGGAGGATAAATCCTAAATCCTAAATCCTAAACCCTAAATCCTAAATCCTAAACCCTAAATCCTAAATCCTAAATCCTAAAATCCTAAATCCTAAACTCTGAACCCTAAATCCTAAATCCTAAATCCTAAATCTAGATTTTAGAGCTGGTTGTCCTTTTCCGAAAAGGACAAGCGCGACTAAATATTGAAATCCGGAAGCTTAAGAGCAGCCACACGAAAAGAAAGGAGGGGACCTCGAGATTCGCAACCGGCCTTCTCTAAATAAAAAGCACATTTTATGAACAGAATTTGTCACTTGAAAATCACCAGCAAAAATCCAAATTTCCGGAGGTTAAATCCTGAATCCTAAATCTTAACCCCCAAAATCCTAAATCCTAAATCCTAAACCCTAAACCCTAAATCCTAAATCCTAAATCCTAAATCCTAAATCCTAAAACCTAAATCCTAACTCCAAAATCCTAAATCCTAAATCCTAAATCCTAAATCATAAACTAAATCCTAAATCCTAAACCCTAAATCCTAAATCCTAAATCCTAAACCTTAAAACCTAAATCCTAAATCCTAAATCCTAGACTAAATATTGAAATCCGGAAGCTTAAGAGCAGCCACAAGAAAAGAAAGGAGGGGACCTCGAGATTCGCAACCGGCCTTCTCTAAAAGGCACATTTTATGAACAGAATTTGTCACTTGAAAATCACCAGCAAAAATCCAAATTTCCGGAGGCTAAATCCTAAATCCTAGATCCTAAACCCTAAATCCTAAATCTTAAATCCTGAATCCTAAATCCTAAATCCTAAACCCTAAATCCTAAATCCTAAATCCTAAATCCTAAACCCTCAATCCTGAATCCTAAATTCCCACCCAGGCCTGCTTAGGCCGTACCCACCCTTTTTCTTAGGGTGCTTGGACCCAAGAACGAAACCCGGCAGTGATTGACACCAACTCTGGATGGACAATGCGAATTCAGCCCCTAGGGCTGAGCCAAGCCATTAGGCCCCTTGCGTGGCGCCCATATTCGCAGAGGGAATTCCCTCGAATCTCAAGAGATTAAAACACCCTAAACCCGACGACCAAATCCCTTGGTGGTGTTTTCCATTTCGCCCCCCTTCAGAAAAGGCCCCAGAGGCCGGCCCAGGGGCCCCCTCAGCTGGCAGATTCCAGGGACCCGGGGGCTGCTGGCCGGTCCTAGGGGGAGACCTGGCGTTTTCTGCCCTTCCTCTGGCCCTCCCTGGGCCCCCCCCCTGGCCCCTGGCCCCCTCTGGCCCTCCCTGGCCCCCCCTGGTTTCCCCTGGCCCCCCCTTGGCTGTCCCCTGGCCCTCGCCCCTGGCCTGTTTTGTAGCGTGTGTAGGTGCGTCCTTCCTGGCGCCAACAGACAGACCAGGGGCAGGTGGGAATTGAGGGCGTAAGCGCTAAACCCTAAAAGGCAATGTTTTGGGTGGTAGCCTGTGTATTCTCACAGCGGGTGGGAAAGGTGAGGAACCAATGTGTAATTGTTTGGTGGTGGAATCGCATTCGAACGCTAGACGTCGATATGCCGCCCCCCCACACCCCTGGGAGTGTTGGGGCGCCATCCTACATAGAAAATACTGCCGCTGCGCGGCGAGACGTCCTAGACCCCAAATCCTAAATCCTAAACCCTGAATCCTAAATCCTAAAGCCTAAATCCTAAATCCTAAATCCTAAATCCTAAATCCTAAACCCTAAAGCTTAAATCCTAAATCCTAAATCCTAAATCCTAAACCCTAAATCCTAAATCCTAACCCAAAAAAGGGGCGCCAGAGCAAATGGCCCACGGTTTGGGGTTATTATATAGCTACGCTAGAGGTGGTCCCGATACGGCGGTCCCTCAGTATGAAGACTTCCCGTTGGGGTTTGCCATGGGCTTTACACCGTTGACCTGTGCAGGTCAGACCGGGGAGGCTTTACCCTCCCCTCTCCGCGTCCCGCTCTTTTAGTAGGGGCGCTCGGGCTGTTAGGCCCTCGGCCAGAGCGCTCGGGGCCTGTCGTTCGACGGTTTCGGCCCCTCGCTTAGTTTAGGGTTTAGGGTTTAGGGTTTAGGGTTTAGGGTTCAGGGTTTAGGGTTTAGGGTTTAGGGTTTAGGGTTTAGGGTTTAGGGTTTGGGAGGTCAAACAAATTAACGATCCCACCAGAATTCACGGCGCAAGGCCATATGGGTGGGTGTCAAAATCAGGGTCCTTTTTGGGGTACCCTAAATAATAGGTGCCGCATTATAATACGGACCCGAAGCGGGACCATTTTTTACAAACACCCATATGGATACTTGGACAACACCTTGCTTGATGTGGTGTTTCCTATGGATCCATCATACAAACTGTCAGGTCTTGCAGTAGGGATGTTGAAGGGCAGGGATATTATCTGACACCGTTTTTCGCCCAACCTCCCCAAACCCCGAACACTAAATCCTTAACCCGGTATCCTAAGCCCGCAGCCGAACAGATCAAACTCTAAACGGTATGTTATACATTCTAAAAACTTAACCCGAAACCCTCAACCCTGCCACAAAGCACTGAACCTTCAAGCCAAATCTGGTAACCCACAACCCTAAAGCCTGAATCCTGAATCTTAGACCCAAACCCGAATCCGTATAAGACCCAAACCCTAATCCCCTAAACCCTAAACCCATAGTCGGAAAGAGTCCGAGCTTGGGAGGCGAACGCCAGCGACGACACGATCTTCGACCCAGCTGACGACCTGGACAGCTCAGCAACCCCCATTCTAGAATTTTTATAGGGTATCACGGAGGGTCACATCAAGGGTTCGTATCGGGGTCTTAGGTTTTACGGGTTTGAGGTTTAGGAGTCGTTTTTCGTGTTTGACATTTGCGGATTCGGGGTTTGGGGTTTGGGACGAGTATGTGCAAGAGCTTAAGTCGGAAGGTCGCAGGAGTTCCCGGTTTGTAAGGCTCATGAGCTTTAGCGTTGTGGGGCCGGGGGGTTCAGAGGTGTACAGAGATTTGGAGGTTATATAGTTCATAGATAGAGGGTTCAGGGTTGAAGGGTTTTCGGCTCATGGATTCCAGGAGCTTTGGGTCACATGGGCTTAGGGTTTGAAGTGTTCGTTTTCAGGATTTTGGGGGTTGGGGCTGTAGGGTTTGGGACTTGTCAGTCTTCTCTGAGTTTCTGTGCTTTGGAGGGTTAGGACCCCCCCCCAGATCCAATATGAAACCTAGGACGGGCCCCTCCGAGATCACGGTGCTTCCTCACAGAGGCTACGTGGGATTCCACTTCAACCTAGCGGAAGGTGGGGTGTACTTTGGGAGCCTGGACAGTCACCAATACCGTTACTTTTAGGGCCCGCGGTCGAAAATTGGTGGGGGCGAGCCCAGCTTGGAAAGAGCTCTTAAACCAAACATCCTACCTTGACCTCCCAAAACCTACTGTTTTGTAGGGCCCCTATATTTCCATATTAGGGTTTATAGTAAGAACCTACAAAAAAGTAGGGTTTGGTAGTTTCAGGTACGCCTCAAGCCCCAAACCCACCAAAGGCAGGACGTCACAATCTCTGCCCCACACCGCAAGCCCTAGACAGCTAGTAATAGGGGCTTTAATAGTTATCTACATTATTTTGCGCGTTCCTGTTCGAATTATTGAGGCCCCCTACTTGGAGATGTTATAAGTGGGGTTATAATTAGGGCAGCTATGGTTATAGCCCCCTAATAGGGGGCTTACAACCCCATTTATAACTACCCATGAACCTCCAAGTATATCACTCTAAAACCACCCTTAGAGCCGGGACCAAATCCGGCAGGACGTGGACCTCGAGGTCGCGCAGATCATGGAGCCGAATCTCCCTCCACTTACAGGTCGCGGTTTAGGGTTGAGGGTTTAGGGTTTGGGGTTTAGGGTTCAGGGTTTAGGGCTTCTAGAGATTACAAGGCTGTGAAAGTGCTTCTGTGGGGTCGTCCAGGGCGTTGTCGAGCTCTATGCAAGTTTGCCAGGCTTTCATGCAATTTCTTTAGAAGTTTTTTGGTGAGGTTTCTATGTGAGTTATGCGGCTGTGTCGAAGTTTGCGGTTCCCACAGGCTCCAAAACCGCCATCCCGGATCCAAATTTTAAAGTAAACGCCAAACCCAGGCCCTACACCCACAAGATCCTATATCCTAAACCCATAAACCCTGAACTCCAATCCCTGCATATCCCTGTCTAACCTTTCTCGTGGCAGGGCGCGAGCGATCGAAGAGCACCTCCAAGAGTATCAACAAGCGCGCGGTGACGCTTCCTACCGAGGCGTGCGTTGTGAGTACTTGGAGGTTCATTGCTAGTTATAAGTGGGGTTATAATTACGGTAACTATGGTTATAACCCCTATAACCCCATTCATAACTACCCATGGACCTCCAAGTAGGGTTTGGGCTAACGCTAACGGTTGTTTGGAGTTTAGGGTTCAGGGTTTTGTGGTTTGGGTTTCGGGGAATGTAGGAACCTGATAAAGAAACCCTTGGCCTATAACCCCAGAATACTAGGATTCATACAAGGAGCCTTAGTGAAGGCCCAAGGTATCTTACTCAGGTTCCTACATTATGGGCTTTGGGGTTGTGCAGGGGTGTATGGGCTAGGATGATGGGACCAACGCGCCCAGGGGGCGTGGAGGCCCGTTGCACTAGTGAGCCAAAATACAGGATCAGATGAATTCGGAAGCGGGTTAGGAGTCTCTGTAATCCTACTTAAAATTCTATTTGTAACAGACTTACGAAGTCCCCTGATCCTGCAAATAAACGACAACGACCAAACCCTCGGTGCTGTTTGTTTGTTTTAAATCACGGTCTTGTGAGAGCAAGGCAATTGTTCGCGGAGTCTTTCAACGTGAGACTATCCCAGAGAGCCTACCACCAGGTAATTAGTTAAAGAGGAGAGGGCTCCTTAATATGATCTAATGTACGTACCGCAATTCAGGGATTGGGCACTCTGGGCTAGGGTGGGTGGCGCATGCTATATGACGGCTGATAAGCCATGAAGAACACAAAATCAGTGTGACAAGCACAGACTATCGCGACTTTTTCTTCCCGAAGGTGCATGTCCACCTCGTGTTTGAGACGCCCCCGGCCTGCGCATCAACCTACAACTCTGTCCGCCCAACTCTTACAGTAGTTTTTGAGGCGTTGCCCTTTGCTCGCAAGATATAGTACCGTCCATCGTGGTACGTATGACTCTGGCATGTGATGGTATACTTTACGGAAAATTGATCAATGAAAGGTTTTTCTTGGCCAGATCGAAGGAATAGTCCGTAATGAAGGGATTTTCGAGTCGCTGAATGTGGAATGGTTGCTCCCATCCCTCGTTGCCAGCTTATTTCAGCTTTATAGCCTGCAAACCCTAAAACGGGATCGGAATTACTGCAATTCGGATCCCGCTATAGTCCTTCCTATTTTGGCGCTGAGTGGCTAAGCGCATAGAATCCTGAACCCCAAGCCAGTTCCGCAGTTAAGACCTAATCTCCATACTAAGCCCCTCCGACTAAAAGCCCTCAATTCAGCGGGTCCATTATCCGTGCCCCCGAAACACTAGAACCCTAGAGCCCTAAACCCCGAAACCCCCAGACACCTAAACCCCTAACCACAGATCAACCCTAGATCCACCCTAGATCCACCCTAGATAAAACCCCTAAACCCTAGATCAACCCTAGATCAACCCTAGCTAAAACCCCTAAGCCCTAGATCAACCTTAGACAAACCCTCGACCCGAACCCTCAAACCCCAGCCAGGCCGATCTCACGCAAGCACCGAGACTCGGCGTTTTGCATTGGCTCGGTGGGCTGTATGTTTTGGACCCAAAGACTGCAATACCCCTTAATTAGGGAAATTTCAATAAATCATATTAGCGATCCTACTATAATTTCAGGTATATTCCCTAAACTGCGTTATAGAACCCGTATAGATCCCTTTAAGGAGCCCTTTAAGGAACCCTTAGGTATATTCCTTAATTAAGGGATATTGGAGTGATCTAAGAGGCTCCTTTAAGGGCTCCTAAAAGGGTAGGATCTTTAATATGATTTATGAATATTCCCCAATCAAGAGGTTATTGGAGTCTTTGGGAACTCGTAACAGCATCCCGCTATCATCCCCGTGTGACTATACCTTAGCATACCCCACACCTTTACTTTCATTCTGAAGGCAGCTATACGTACCATCCCAGGCTGATGACGATCAGCTCTCAGGCAAATTGCGAGGGCCCCAGGGGGCGCTGGGTTGAGGACTCTACTTACCTTTGGTTAGTCGGGACTGGAAGAATGGTAGTAATAGTACTTATAACAGAACCCCATTCCTCCAAGCACTACTAACCAAAGGTAAGTCTATGGTTTCAGGGTCAAGACTCAGGCGGGTTCAGGGCTTTCGACTGTACAGTAGAAGCCCAAGAACAGAAACCCCGTAGTCTCAATCCCTAAAAGTAATGTGAACGAAATCCCGGGGCTGTTTGGCCTTGATCCGGTTTCCAACTTTATGGTGTTTACTGTGCTCTGGGGTGTTGGGATTTGTGTGTAGTGAGGGCTTCACTTCCAGGGTGTGGAGGTCTCAACCTGTACTTTGCTTCGAAATCACAAAACCAGCTGGCCCGAAATGCGTGGGACATGAGCCTCCCCAAAAAAGGTGCTATTGCAATTCAAAAGATGCTAACGAAATTTCATAATAGTTTTTTGGGGTAAGGCTTAAAGGTTTTGGGCTCAGATGCTTGAGCGCAGGTGCAAGGATGATATTCTGGGATGCGATCAGAGTGCAAAACTCAGAATCCCATTCACATTCACGGGTTAGTCCTTTCCGTCGAGGTTTTCCGAGTTTCGGGCCCGAATTTCCGGCCACGTGCAAGGAGATGTTGGTTGAGAAAACCATCGAAGGAGATTTAGGTTCGAAGCCCTAAACCCTAAACCCTAAACCCCTAAACCCTAGGCCCTAAACCCCTAAGCCCCCACACCCCTAAACCCTAAACCCCTAAACCCTAAACCCTAAACCACTAAACCCTAAACCCTAAACCCCTACATAAACCCCTAAACCCTAAGCCCTAAATCCCTGAACCCTAAGCCCTAAACCCTAAACCCCTAAACCCCTAAGCCCTAAGCCCCTAAACCCTAAACCCAGTAACCCAACCACGATCCGAAATTGAGTGCGCGACCCGAACCGGCGGACGGCAAATGGAGGTCTACCGACCCGAAATGGTGGGCCTGAAACGCACCCCGCCCTTTTCCAAGCGGTGTAGTACTTATAGAACCCTTCGCAGGAATACGTGAAGGAGCGCGATCCTGACTAGTAAGGCCTCAGGTGGAAGTTTCGGAAAAATGGGACCCTATTCTGCTACCCTAAATACTAGGATCTTACTTTAAGGAAACCAAAATAAGGGTACCCCGAGTTTTCTGGAACTCCCCGGTAAGGTTTCCAGCAATGCGTGCTGCAAGGCTTTGCTTTTGTACCCAACAACAAAGCAGACTCTGCGCGCCCTTCCTCCAGGCCGGGGTTTCAGGCTTAAGAATTTAGGGGTTTCAGGCTTAGGGGTTCAGGGGTTTAGGGGTTTAGTGTGTAGTGCGAGGGAAGAGGTGAAAAGGTCATCCTTGTTTTGGTTCTGGGGACCTGCTTGCTTCGTTTCGGGGTTCAGGGTTTAGGCCGTAAGGTTCAGGATTTAGAGTTCCAGGTTCAGGGCATACTTGTGCGGTTTAAGGTTTCAGGGTTTAGAGTTCAGGACTTTCGTTTTGGTACACCTTGCTCAGTCATGCTTGCATATCTGAAGATTGGGTTCAGGGTTTAGGTTAGGGGTTAGTATATTTAAGGATTGTGGCAGAATTCTGGCCAATAAGTAGAAGTCCTCAAACCCTAGGCCCGAAACCATCTAGCTTTTCCCTACAGCTACGTTAAGAGCCACGTTTACGAACTGTACCTTAGCCCCACGTAACCTACCTTTTTAAGGACCCCTAAACCCTAAACCCTGGACCCTAAACCCTAAATCGTGAAACCCTAAAAAAGGTAGGTTCCTTAGGGTCCAGGTACCGCCTGGCTCTTATCCTGTCGGAGGGTAGCTCAGAAACCAAACCTGACAGGAAAGTCGAGGGTTAGGGTATAGGGTTTAGGGTTGAGCCATGGGCGGAGATGCCCTGAACCCCTAAACCCTAAACCCTGAACCCTAAACTCTAAACCCTAAACCCTAAACCCTGACTGCTGAACAATGCGGGAGTGGGCATACTTTCGCCGAAGCCGCGGCAAGCAGCAGGGAGAAGCTGCCGTAGACGGGGCAGGTTCTGTGGGATCCCATGCTTCGGGCACGCTGTTGCAGGTATGTTTTGGGGCTCAGGGTTCAGGTTTGTCAAACGGGGAAAAGCAGGGACGCCTTTTTGCAATGGGGACCCTTACCCTATAATGGGCTATATAATGGGTATATAATAGCTATATTAAGGGTATCTGTACCTAGGGGTCCTTATTAAGTCTCCGTCCTTTTACCCTTGGAGTTTGAGTTATGAGATTGAACAGCTGGTGCACCTCCCCAAAAGGAGCAGGGTGTGGGCGCTGCGCGTTGCGAAACCCTAGCCTGGAGCCCCATGGAGGGTCTGCAATCCCGACCCAAAGCTCCTTTTTTCCAAAAGTTGAAACCCTTGAACACCCTAAACCTGGATTGTCGATTGGGACTTTTTCAAATTTCCCCTATTTTGCTGTAGAGAGCCATAATAGTAGATAGTTTTCAAAGGGCTTAAATAGGACAACTCAGAAACCCTAAACCCTTAACACCTGGAGCCCGGAGCCCGAAATCGCGGTTCAACCCTACACTAGATGCAGGGCTCGTGGCGGAAATTTATCACGAGATGTCTTGAGGAGACACGTGCTTCTGAATAACTTGAATTTCTTGCAGCTGGCTTGTTCCAGAACACCTGTCGCGCGGGCTCAGTTAGGGCAACAGTCTGGGGATAAAGGGTTTGCAAACCTATGAGTTGGGGGTATCATGCTTTAGGATTGTTAAGAAGCTGTTATTTCAGTTACAATAATAAGGAAACCACATTTTTTTGCGAATCCCTATTATGGTGGTTTAGGAAGCAGCAGCAGCAGTTGGTCTCGTTGTCATCGCTATGTGACATCACAGGCTATGTCGAAGACCCCCGCCCTTTGCATGCTTTATACCTGTCCGAAGCAAATCCCTTTGGTCTCGACTAGGTTCTCGTGATTTGTACAAGATCCCAAAGAGCCCAACTTAGGTCTACTTGTAAACTGAAGCCATTACTTGCACAGCACATCCCCCCTAGGTTTTTCTGAAGCTCATGTACATCCGAAGTCTGCAAACCCTACAACTCTAAGCCCTAAACCCGCTGCATTGCAGGAACATAACGAAGCCGCGCTTCGCGCGGTCTGCTTCCCGAAATGGAGCCGCCACGCCAAGAAATGATGGAAGTGGCCCCACCACACCGAGGGTCGCGAGGACTCTGACAGAGAGCTCTGTGGGCTCATACGGCTTATTTTGAGAGGATTTGGGTTTCCAAGAGCATGACAAAGATGACAGAGGAGTCGGAGGGGTTCTGCTGCTACTACGACTACAACTACAACTGCTGCTACTGCCCCCTACCACTTCCGCTATCCACAGAATACATACCGCTGAGTTGCACTACCACACGCTGTTAAGCTGTACGACAGATTGCTGAATGCTGCTCCATACGCTACTGCTACATAGTACTACGGAGTTTTACATGCCTCTACCAATACTACTGCTACTACTACTACTACTGCTGCTACTGCTACTGCTACTGCTACTGCTACTGCTACTGCTACTGCTACTGCTACTGCTACTGCTACTGCTACTGCTACTGCTACTGCTACTGCTACTGCTACTGCTAGTAGGATTCTACTAATTCTACTTCGAGTAGTGCTAACAATACTGGTAGTGGTAGTAGTAGTAGTAGTAGTAGCAGTAGTAGCAGTAGTAGTAGTAGTGGTAGTACAGTAGGGCTGCTGCTGCCGCTGCTGCTGCTGTGCGTGGGAAATGTCGAGACATAAATCATGGCATCTTACATCGTAGCCCAAACAAAATGGTTGCTGCAGCAATCAAAGCCTTAGGCCCCGGAGGGAATGCTACTGTTTATTGTTGGCTTTATCCTTATTGTCATCAACATATTTCAGATGTCACATTTTGTGTCTGTCCTCTGGACTCGAGGGTGTTATCAGCTCTCTGCACGCCGATATCGTTAGCCCTTCTTTTTGCATCCCTGCGCTTTCCGCTTCTTCTTTTCCTGTTCACAAAGTCGTTGGCAGCTAATCGTAATATTGGTTATCATCATTGCTGTCGCCATGCCTTCTCCACTGTCATCATTGCAGTAGTTTTTTTCTCGTGACCGCCATCGTAACATTCCTAACAAAGTGAAAAGGGTTGGGTGTTTTGATAGAAGCTATGATGCTTATGAATTAGATCATGCTTGCATTGACTTTTGCGGCTATTCTAGTTGCTATGCCTCTTTCGACCATTACGTTACTTTTCATTTATTGTTCGCCGTGACAATTCGCACCACGGTCATGATAGAACAGGTAAATAGGGGCATCCCAATTTCGAGGTTTTGGCTTTGGGGTTTAGGGACCACGGCCTCATACAGTTAAGCCCAATCTGGTAGGGATAAACCCAAACCCTAAACCCTAAACCCTAAACCCTAAACCCTAAACCCTAAACCCTAAACCCTAAACGATCCGAAACCCAGAAGACTCTTGGCCGAGCACAGATGCTGCCAAGCAGCTTCCGCTGTTCGCAGCAAGGGTCCACAGCTAACGTAGAGGTGGTTTTTGGGTAGTTACAAATGGGGTTATAAGTCCCCAATAGGGGGTATAACCAGAGTTACCCTAATTATAACTCCACTTATAACTACCCATGAACCTCCAAGTAGAGGTGGTTTTTGGGCACGTTCTAATCGGAAAGCTAGCACATTGCTCAGAAACGGTCCAGGGTCCAGGGTATTGCAGTTAGGCGCAGACCCGCGTGATATTCAATATGGGCTCAGACACTGGACTAAACTTCAAGCCAAGCCGTGAGAGCAAACCAAGCTCTAAAGCCTGCCCGCGCATCCCAAGCTGCAGCCCAAAGCCTAAACCCTGCAATCCTAGACCCCTACTGTAAAGCCTAAGGCTTAAACCCAAAAGTCCAAAATGCTAGCAAAAGCATCTAGGGCTTCGTAGGCTGAGTCTTTGGCTTCGCATGTCATGGCTCTGTTATGGAAGAGCCCGAATCGACTTTAAGTCAACATATGAACGACCATCGTAAGAAGCCTTTGCAATGTACGGTATATGTCAGAGGTATGGGGTGGCAGTCACCAGCCTGCCCTTCGTGGACCCTTTCTATCTTTTTTCTTACAGTAGCCGGGTAGCTCACGCAGTGACCCGAAACTTTCTCTTCATTATATGCGAGGCCGGAATCAGTTTGAATACTGTAGGAACCTGATTAAGAAACCTTGGGCATTAGGGCTCCTTTTTTGAATCCTACTAATTTGGGGGTTATAGGCCCAGGGGTTCTTAATCAGGTTCCTACATTACTTCCTGTTTATCGAGCATCAGGCAGCCAAAACACTAGTCTGACTGCCTAGGCTCCTAGCATACACCCTATAACATGCCTTTTATGTAACACCTCATCAGAAACGAGATTCAAAACCCTACGTATAGTTCCCACCAAGCTCAAGAACCGAAGCAAACCTTCCCTGCTGGGGGCCGCTGCCCCTTAACCCGAATGCCCGTGAAGCCCAATGCCCCTAAAGCCCCCTTAAACGCTTAACTAGGTTGGATTTCGGGACATTTTTGATTTTCCTTATTTGGGTTTATAAGGGACCCTATCTATGAATTTTTTCCATTGTGTTTAAAGGCCAACCCAGTTAACCCTAAACCCTAAACCCCAAAGCTCTTCAAACCCAGGCCCGAAATCCCGAAGACCCCTTGGGCGCACCAACTTGGACGACAGCCCCAAGCACTGAAACCCGAAGCCCCAAGCCTTAGCACTAAATCTTAAACCTCAAGACCTTAAACCGCCAATCCCTCGAAGGCATGCAACACCCTAAACCCTAAACCCTTAAACCCTGCACGCTGTTCTAAGACTTTGGGTCTCTGTGGAGGTGTTGCGCGCTCTTGAGGCTGTGGGTTTTTGCCCATTGCGCATTCCATTCCTTGGGGCTACCTTCTTCTGATTACAGGTTCTTTGTCGATTCTAGGGTGTTTCTACGATGCCAGGTGTATATACGGAATCAACATCGCAGTGGCACGAGTCGTTGGAGTAAGTACGGGTCATTAGTGCTGGTGGTCGAATGAGTCCTGTTGGCCGGAAGACGAGCAGCGGCAAAAGTAGTAGCATTAGCAATGGCAGTAGCGGTATTTGTAGCAGCAGCCGCAGCTGCAGCCGCCGCCGCAGTCACAGTCACAGTCACAGCAGCCGTAGCAGTAGCAGTAGCAGTAGCAGGAGCAGTAGCAGGAGCAAGGAGCAGGAGCAGGAGCAGGAGCAGGAGCAGGACGAGGAGGACGAGGAGCAGCAGCAGGCAGCAGGAGAAGGAGGAGGAGGAGGAGGAGGAGGAGGAGGCGGCATCAACTTCAGCAGCAGCAGATGATAGGTGCTAGCAAGATTACACACATGACAGTATCGAGTTCCGCATGATAGCCCGAAGCATGATGCGCAGCCCTTAGCCCGTGCACCATCGAGACTGCTTCCATGAGCAGAATCGTCCCAATGTCAGCGCATGGCTTCCAGCTTCCGCAAAGGTTGGCCACGGCCTCCGGGCTCACTGAATAAGCCTGAGATCTTCGGCTTGCCGCCACAATAGACACAACAAGTCCCATGGCTCATAAAGAACACATTGTCACACCATCTGTGGGCAAAGATGTTTGAAGGCACTCAGACACTCCCGAACCCCTTTTATCAATTCTATATCCTCTTCATTGCATGGGGATGTGATTTTCTTTATTCCTAAACCACAACCCCTTGCTCCATATGATTTGTTTAAGGTACACAGTTGAGATGGGTTGTTCAGGCCGTGACCATCACTGAGAGCTTATCTTAGAGGTCAAACGGCGATTCGGAGATTTCGGGATTTGTGGTTTGGGTTTGTTTAAGGTACACATACTGAACCGCTGTCGTGCTCAGAGACTATGAAAGAGCAACAGGCCAGCGGAGAGTGACTAGAATGACTAGAATGTTTTCAGAAACACGGGCAAATCTCTCCAGCGACACTAGAGAATTTCTCGTTTGGGTTATTTTGAGAAAGAGTGGCAAGCCATTAAAGAGGGACTAGCATAATTGAGAAACGCGACCAACTCTCTCGAAAGAGACGCGAGACTATTGATGCCGGGGAGATCTGGAGTAAGAGTAGCCAGCCAATGGAGAAGGAATAGAACATTCGAGGAAAACGACCAAAGCACTCGAATTAACTTGTCGAAGGAGACTAGAGAGTTTGATGCAGAAGAGAGTCGTGCATGCAGTTGCAGGAGGCACGGTGCAGGGTAACCCGAACTGTAGACGCGAAGAGTCCAACAGATTTCGAGAGCCGATCACGGAGACTGGTGTCCAAGTCGCGCCGCCCCCGAGCATTGCGCTGAGACGGTGGCTCTGGAGAGGGCTCGAAGCCAAGCACAGTAGCCCTTGTCGTTAAACTACCAGACTACCAGTCATGAATTTCAATTCCCGATAAGAAAAGCACGAGCCTGGACCACCGTGAGCATTTGCCTCAAAGCCCTGCGGTGAAGCGTAATGTTTAGATTAATTGTTTTCACATATCAAGAAATATTGTCTGGAATCACCCGATCATTTGCGTCATTTTGCTTAGCCAAGGGTCTTTGGAGTTGTTCGAGATAAGGCCAAAACTCAGTTACTTTTGCGGCCTTTTGATTACCAATAGTTTCTCGGGACGCCTTGTCATATTTATAGCATAATGGGCCCCAAAACCCTATTCTAATCATCGAGGCCGAGCCATTTCTTAAGTCGTACCCTAACACCCAAGAGCCCCAAACCCGAAAGCTTTAAGCGCTCGTGTTCTTAAACGCCAGCCCTCAACCCTTAACCCAAAGCTACACGTTCGAAGCCTCAAGCCTTTCAAACCCTAAACCCCAAACCCCTAAACCTTTCGAATTCTAAACCCTCAACCTTCAGTGGCAGCCAGCCCAGAGGCCCAGACTTTCTTTCTTGCCTTTTGCCGCCAACAGGGGCTTCGGAGTATCCCACCCATCCACAGATAGATAGACAGGTAGATCTACGTCTATGCCTCTCTCTCAGACAGATTGGCAGACAGACGTGAATCTTCGTAACGATGTAGTGTGTACTGGAATGTGCCTATGCAGGTATGTATACGCAGTCTGTCGGATGGCGCCGGCCGCAAGCCCCAAAGTGCAAGCCCCAGAGCCCAAGACCCGAAGTTTACATCCGAAAGCCATGAAGCTCTCTGATCTGAGTTACCATAAATATTAGGTGCCGTACGATAATAGGTACCCGAAAAGGGACCACCACCCATCTGTA